CCTGCATCTCTCCTCATCCCATACCTCTTCTTGCATATCTAAGTGTGATTGAGCAATAATGCATCAAGGAGAATCCTCTAGACCTAGGAAGCGTGTTCAGGGACCCAGCAGGGGTGCTCTGGCTCCACAAGCGCCACCAAATCCTGCTCAGCTCATGCCTCAGCACCAGGCCAGGCTCGACAACATCCGGAGCTATGCCTAGCACCCCATGCTTCAGCTAGATTTCGGCATCCTGAACATGTTTGGTTGGGATGAGGACTAAGGAATTACATCCACAGCATCCGGTGGGATTTCCTCCTAGGAGCTCCTCCTGCCCGTATTTTTTGAGAGGCTACGATGGAGTTTCTCGCCTCCGTGACACTGGTAGACATGCCTACCATATACCCGAGTGTCCCTCCGGCAAGGGCAGTCTCCTACTTAATGAATGGGGCATACAGAACGATGACGCTGAATGAGTTCAACGTCGTCATGGGCTTCAACCAGCCAGCAGACACTGACCCCAGAATACCAAAACGCGCTCTGCGAGAGACCATCTGCCCTCACGACCAGTGAGATTTGGGAGGAGCTCACTGGATCCCAAATCGTGCCGGCCAAACTAAAGGGATCAACCCTGAGTCCACCTCTTCGCATCTACCATAAGCTGCTGGCAGAGACGATACACGAACGGAAAGAGAGTCAGGGTAAAATCACCCAACCTGACCTCTTCGTCATCCACTGTATGTTCCAGGGGTATAGGTGCAACCCAGGATATTTCCTCCTGAAGGCACTCAAGGATTTCGGGAGCCGCCCCACAGGGACCATCATGATAGCTCCCTTCATCACTCTCCTGGCCGAGCGGTGGGGATGTGCTAACGGGGAGGACATACCCTCGACCCTCCAACCCGAGCCTATTAGTGGGTCAATGCTCGTTCACATGGGCATGCTTATTAGACAAGGATTCAAGGTGGTATTACACCCGGCACTCGCCATGACGCTCGACATCCGGGATTTGGATGAGTCGGACGACATCCCCATACCCTCGGATTTTCAGCAGCAGTAGTGGCAGTGGAAGTACGGAGACGACATTGCCAATGTCCACCAGCACATAGATGCCGAGTCCTAGATCCTCTGCCAACAGTTGGACCAGATATCCCTAAGGCAGGACACCTTTGAACTGTGGCTGGAGGCATTTGGTCAGAGGCAGGAGGGACTCGCCCAAAGCGTAGAAGCGATCAACCAAAATATACTTGGAATGATACGGAGTTAGGAGGAATTCCAGAGGCACATGCTCCGCCAGTTCCCTCCGCCAGAACCCTCTTTAGCCTCACGGTCGGACCCGCCGCTAGAATAGGGACCTTGTAATCCTTTTCCCTTTGTAAAAAACCAAATATGTGAATAAAAGTTTTTCTATAGCTATTTGCCTCTGCTCTTCTAAAAAGCCAGCGTACGTAAAAAAGACTAAGAAGTAAAAAGACATGCGCATCATTCCGAAAAAGCCAAATTTCAAAATCGCAAGAAAAAGAATAAACCGCGGCAACAGGCGAAATTAACCAAGAGCTTCCGAAATCAAATAAGCTCCAACCACCATCCTTCCACCAAAAGAGAGAAGGCAACTTTCAATAAAAACAAAGCCGACGGAAAGGCTCAAAATCCCCAAGCGGATCATTGCCTACTCCAGAGACAAACAAAAATATTCTCGCACGACTGAGCATCATCACCACTATGAGTCATCAAGCATACTCAACTCATTTCTCCACCACACCCGCCAAGTGAGAATAAAGGGTCCCCAAAAGCCCTTTACAAACATAGTCAAGAAAGCAAGACTCCATCTCCCTCCCCAGAAGATTATCAAAATTAGATCCCCAGGGAAGCTCAAATTCCCCAAAGGGTCACAAAAAAAGAAGACCATCCCCCACTGAGCCTACTGCAAGGGCAAAACTTCAAGCTTATCCCCAGTAAGTCGTTCACTCGCACATGGGAAAAACTGGCAAACAAAAAGCCAAAATCCCCAAAAAGGAATATTCGCCTACTCCTAGGCACTGTCAACAAATCCCCCAGTGGATTCCTGCCTACTCAAGAGGCATTCATCAGAAATCCCAAGCAATCAACAAGCTGGATGACTATCAGAAAAGCCAAAAATACAACTACTCCCCAAGAAGCCGGCGCATGAGCTAGAGCAGTAAGCTGCCACCCTTTTTCTCTATCAAAAGGATCAGCCACCATAAGCAAAGGGGTATCCAGAAGATAGAGTTCCACATATCAGCCAAGGGGTCAGCTACTACGTCAAAGGAGCATCCCGAGGTTCTCTAAAGTTAAATGGTCAGCTACCGTATCAAAAGAGCATCCTGAAGCTTCGCACATGCCACTCGAGGGGTCAGGTACCGCTTTAAAGGAGCATCCCGAAGGAAAATCTTTATCAGCCAAAGGGTCAGCTACCGCGTCAAAGGAGCATCCTAAGGCATCAAATCAAGACCAAGGGGTCACCTACCGCATCAAAGGAGCATCCCGAGGTTCTCTATTTGTTAAAGCTAAAGGGTCAGCTACTGTACCAAAGGAGCATCTTGAAGCTTCGCAACGTATCTTCTAAAGGATCAACATCCATAGCAAGGAAGCATCCCGAAGACATCACCAAATTATATTCTTGGTCCCAAGGGTCAACTACCACGTCAGAAGGAGCATCCGAAGGACAACTGGGCAAGAGGGTTAACCCTTTTACCCGCCAATCGACCTTATGGCACACCAACCCATAGTCATTTGGTCAGGTAAAGGGGGGGCAGCTGTAGACCCCAAATCTTGTCCGATTTCACAATAAGCCAGAAGACCTCCATTTGAAGATAGGAAAAGCCTTTAGACTCCATAATTAGGATAGGAGGACTTCCTGTATACAGAAAATAAGAGAATTTTTGCCCAGAAGCCCGAGACAACTGTCCCGATTGGCCAGACGGTCGTCTCGCCACTTATAAGACGAGACAACCATCTCGCCACTTGGCAAGACGACCGTCTCGACTCTAAAGTGGCGAGACGGCCGTCTCGCCTGACAAGGGTCGAGACGGTCGTCCCGGTCTAACAAGCACGAATTCCTATAAATAAGGGTCTTCTCCCCCTCGTTTTCAACATCTTTTCACCTGAATTTATCCTCCATTACTCTTCTTAAACCTCTAAAGCATTTCCAGAGTTCGAGTGATCTTTTTAGACACTCTGTAGTTAGAATCTTTCTGTCGATAGATGAATGAGCAACGTTGTAGAGTGAGGGGATAACAAAAAAACATCCTCAATCTTCCAACACTTAATACAAAGCTTGCTTTGGAGGTTTCTTCCACATACTCTTTTTTATTGCTTTCTTTATAGCTTTCCTTGTATGCATATTAAATATTAAAGCCATGTAGACGTTTAATTTCTGCAAGTAGATGAAATAATAAGGTTAAAATCGTAATTTCGTTAGTCTTTATTTTATAAGCTAGTCCATCATAGGGAACCCGAAAGAGACGTTGTGGGGTGCTAATACCTTCCCCACACGTAACTAACTCTCTTACCCGACTCTGGTTGTAATGATCAAAGTTGTTTTTTTTTTCTAAAACTACTGCCTTTTTTAGTGTTTAAGGTCAAAACACTGATCGCAACTCCATCGAACCTTTTCGAAAATCTCACCTTTGGGTCTAGCCCGGTTATCGGATAATCTAAAGGCGTTGAACACCTCTGTTAAAAAACATGAGTCATACAAAAAACTATCACGTCGCTCCGACCGCCTCTTTTGACGGCAGCGACACCAACGTTTACACATATGTATAGTTCTTTTCGTCTTAGACAAAATTCTAGAGAAGAAATTTTGAACTCATTCTTTATAGATGCTTGGTGGGGCATCTAATTTATCTTACCAATACTTGCCTAGAAGTTGTCTATACTACTCAATAATTAAGCCAGTTTATGTTAAGACTCACTCAAGTCTATTTTAAGGCTGCCACCAGAGTGCTTCGATACTTAAAGAGTTGTCCTGGTAAAGCTATATTTTTCAACTAAGGAATCAACAATTCAAATTTAAGGGTTCAACTATGCAGATTAGGCTAACTGTGTAGATTCTTGCAAATATGTTACAGGATATTGTTTCTTTATTGGAAAGTCTTTGGTTTCTTGAAGGACTTGAAACAATTATGGTGCTTCCATACTTAAAGAGTTGTCCTAGTAAAGCTATATTTTTCAACAAGGAATCGACAATTCAAATTTAAGGGTTCAACTATGTAGATTAGGCTAATTGTGTAGATTCTTGCAAATATGTTGCAAATATGTTACAGGATATTGTTTCATTATTGGAAAGTCTTTGGTTTCTTGAAGGACTAAGAAACAAGATATTGTTTCAAGATCATCATTAGAGGCAGAGTATAGAGCATTTACTTTTACTACTTGTGAGTTACAATGGATCACTAATTTATTGTAAGACCTTCATGTTTATTGTGAGTCACAATCAGTCCTTTTTTGTGATAGCCAAAGTACGTTACGATGATCCAATTTTTCATGAGTGAACTAAACATTTTGATATTCACTGTCATATTTTGAAACAAAAATCTTAGCATGGTCTAATACATCTTCTTCATGTATCCTCCTTTAATCAATTGACTAACATTTTAACCAAAACTGTCTCCAACAATATTTAAAGTCAATTTATCCAACTTAGAACTCATTGACATGTTTGGACCTATAGCTTGTGAGCAGATATAAGAAAATAATAATAATTGCACATAATTGAATATTAACTCATATATTGACCCAAATGATAAAGTCTATTTTTCTTTATTAAAAGATGATATATTATATTTTAGTTTCCTCTTAATGGTAATGTCTATTTTTCTTTATTAAAAGATGATATATTACATTTTAATTTTCTCTTAATGGTCATATATATGATAACAAAGTTGTAATCCTAAAGAAACAACTTTGTAATACAACATTCGATGTCTTTTTTCATTATTGCTCTGTTATTTTGTTGTCAGATTATCTTTTATCCCAAATAATCTAGTCTCCTGTTAATGTCCAACAGTGGCTCAAGAAGTGGTCATAGACATGTTGATTTTGGTGACTACTTTTTTGGTCCTAGACTTGAAGGACTCATTGAACAACACATAACCAATGACCGGCTTGGTCCTCCCCCTGCATCACGCTCTTCAATTGATGCAATGCCAACCATTAAGATCACAAATGAACACCTCCAATCTGATTCACACTGTGCAGTTTGTATGGAAAGGTTTGAACTGAGTTCCGAGGCCAGGAAAATGCCATGTGGCCACATTTACCACTCAGACTGTATTGTTCCATGGTTAGTTCAGCACAATTCATGTCCTGTTTGCCGTGTTGAGCTGCCACCTCAAGGACACCCCAGTTCCCGAGGTTGTAGAATTTGGGGAAGAAGGAATGCTAGTGACAGTAGAAGTGGGAATAGAGAGATGAACAATGGAAGGAGAAATCTACTATCATATTTGTGGCCATTTCGAACTTCTACTTCAAATACATGATCATTGAGCTGAGACTGTGGAAAGTCTTTGGCGAATGACAGAAGTTAACTGAAAGTTTAATTTCTTCCTCCTGGATAAGTGTAGTTAGTGTCAAATAATGCTTGTAATTTTGAATGACGTGAAGAAAGTTTCTGAAGTTTGTGCTTTGAACTTGATCTCATCGATACTAGATCATAGAAGTGTATGTGAAAATCTTTGTACATACAATATTCTTGTAAGCACTTTTCTTTTCATACTTTCAGTTGCATTATAATTTGCTTGGTCTTGTGTGTGTTTGAGAGATAAGGAATCAAAGGGTAAGGAAAGGTGAGTTTTAACATTCATCAAACACTTCACTTTGCACTCAGTCCGTAGCATATAGGGATGGCAAAACGGGTCAGGTCCAGCGGGGCGGGTTGATGTTTTCAGCCCACCAGCCCGCTTTGGTCCACCCCGCCAAGCCCGCCAACCCATCGGGTCAACCCGCGGGACGGGCGTGCTAGCTCGCAGCTCGCCTAATTAATAAAAAATAATTTTTTATTATAATAAAAATTAATTATAAAGATAATATATAAAGTTAAAAATTTTAAAAAGAGAATTAAAAAAGTTTTACTCTCACATAAAATATTTTCCTTACTCGAAACACAATCTTCTCTCTTGTTCTCCTTGTTCATCTTAAACACTGATTATTTTTATTCTTATGACTTGAATTAAAGGTGTAAGAATTACTCAACCAAGAATAATGTGAAGTTTTATCAAATAAAAAAGATATAACTATTTGAATTTTTCAATATAAAAAATATAAATTTTATAAGTTTTAACGTTATATATATATATATTATTATTTATTATTATGTAAATTTTATTATTGTTCTAAATTATAATTTTTTAAAATAATATATTGATTTATATTATTAAATTGAAATAATATATATATATATATATATATGAAATTATTGACAAACAAATAATAATCTTATTATTAAATTTATTAAAAAAAATTATTTTAAAAAATAAATTATTATTTTCTAAATTATGGCAGAGCCGACTCGCCAGCACGTCAACCCGCCCTTGGCGGAGCGGGTCAAGGTCTATAGCCAGTCATGACTATATCGGCCAGCCGCCTCGCCCGTTTTTGGCGAACCAAAGGCGGGCGGGCCAAACGGACAGTCGGCCCGTTTTGCCATCCCTAGTAGCATAGCAATGGAAGTGTTAGAAAATGCAGTGTGAGAACTGCTCTTGCCTATTTCTTTCTTTTGTAAGCAAAAAATAAGAAACTGAAACTCCTTTCTAAATATTTTTAGAAAATGAAAAAAAGTACATATGAATTAAATATTAGAGTTTGGAAAAATAAATATGAAATAATTTCTACTAAATAATTGGTACATAAGTTAATTTTAAATTTATAAAGATTAATTTTTTTCTTTTTTTTATTTATAAAAATGCTTAAAAAATATTCTTAAGAAAACTCATAATTTTATATTAAATTTAATTGGTCCATTTGAACAGACTACATGTTTGTTTACCAAAAATTTAACCATTTTTTATTGTTTTATTTAATTCAATTGAATTTAAATTAAATTTGGTTTTTTACACAAATTAATTTATAAAGTTTTTTCATGTATTTTTTATTTTTAATTTACATATAACGTAATTTTAGTTTTACAAAAAATTCGTTTAACTGTTAACATTTTTTATTTTTAAAAACAAAACAAAAATTGTTTAAAAATAATATTAATTAAAGAAAAAAAATCAAAAGCAAAACATGTTTCATAACTGATGAAGGACTTTTAGAGATTTGCCCCTTTTGTCACATCAAAAAGGCTAAAAAATGAGGGACCATGTGTTTCCACACACTAATTATGAGCAGCAGCACATCCTCTGCCGTGAATTAAGGGTTGCATTTCAAAAGTGAATCCTAATTTCCACTTCACCCAGCACCCTAACTCAAAAACTTAATCATTGTGTTCCAGTAACTTTTTACTAAATTTAAATAACAAGAGAATTTAATATATAATCGGTTGAAAATGCAAGCATGTAGTATCTACAATTTTTGAAGATGATACAAGAACAAAAGATTTCAAGATTAGAAAACTCATACATATATGTAATAGTTTATAATAACTCTGTTCAATCATCTTGAGTATGTAAAAATAAATTTCAAAATAGCCAGCACTTAGTTTGTCCATAAAAGTTTTAAAACCGTTCTATGATAATCGATTATCACTAAAGATAATCGATTATCTAATTAAAAATCTTATTTGTAAAAATAACTCTGGAATAATTGATTATCACCCTGGGATAATCGATTATCCTAGTAAACTCTTGATTTCTAAAATCGATTCTGGGATAATTGATTATCCTGGACATCTTTGGTTTTCTGATAAAAGCTTTTGTGATAATCAATTATTACTAAGGACATTCGATTATCCATGATAGTTATGATTTTGAAATTCAAATTTTAACCTAATTTTCGGAAAAACTCTATTTAAAGGGTCTCTCATGCTCTATGAAAACAACCTTTTTGATACTCAGAAGTTAAGAGTTGTGTTTGTTGAGAGAACTTTGAGTAGGGAACAAAAAAGGGCTTTGAAAACCTAGTGTGGGCAAAGGGAAATAAGAATCACTGAGTGGGTTTCTCAGTGGATTGTATGTTGTGTTGTCTCTAGGAAAGTTGTCTTCATCCTTTGTGGTTTCAAAGGAGGTGTTCATCTCTTGTGTGACTCAAGAGAGGTATTTTCTAATCATTTTCTATTTGTAGTCTGTTTATTTGTTTGAACCATTATTTTAGTGACTAAGTTAATCCTCTTTTAGAGTTATTAACAACTGGACATAGGGTCTTTTGATCCGAACCAGTATAAAATGCTTGTGTGATATTCTTCCCTTATCTCTTTACTTTTCAAGTGCTATATTATACTAAAAGAAAAAATCAATACCTTTTAATCGGTAAAATCTTGTAAAAAAATTTAAAGAGCTAATTTTTATAAGAAACCAATTTACCCCCCTTTTTGGTTTTTGTCTTAACGTGAACATTCCGTTGCGCGATACCAACAAGTGGTATCAGAGCTTGCTTTGATAGTTTTTCAAAATTTTTGAAAATGGCTAGACAAAATCAAACCTTTGCTGAGGGTGCCTTTATTAACAGATCCCCACTTTTTGCTGGCCAAAATTATCCTTTCTGGAAAGTTAAGATGCAGATATTTTTGGAGTCTGTTGACAGAGATGTCTGGGAAGCTGTCCTAAATGGCCCTTTTATTCCTAAAATGACTGTTAATGATGTAGATGAATCGAAACCTTGTTCTCGATGAACTTCGGAGGAAAGTAAAAAGGCTCAATATGATGTTAGGGCTAAAAATATAATTTTATCTACTTTAACCCTTGATGAGTTTTACAGGATCTCAGTGTGCAAAAGTTCTCAAGAGATGTGGGAAGTACTGAGAGTGACTCACGAAGGAATTGATGATTTTTGATGTCCAAAAGCGTTTCACACACATTGTCAACCACCTCTCTAGGCTTGGTAAGAACTTTGCCGCTGATGAATTAAATATTAAAATTCTAAAGTCTTTGGACAGGAAATGACAACCCAAGGTGACTGCTATCACGGAGTCTCAAAATCTTTCAACTATGACAATGGCGGGTCTCTTTGGAAAACTGAGATAGCACGAGCTTGAACTGGAAAGGTTGAATGATGAGGAAGGCCAAAGTAACAAAAGGAACATTGCCTTCAAAACTGAGGTCATAAAAAGCAAAAAGAAAAAGGAAGAAGAATATTTTGATGATGAAGAAGATGAGAACTTAAGTCTCATAATTAATAAGTTCACCAAGTTCATGAAAGCAAAAAGAAGCAACCATTCAAAGGCAAGAGGAATAAAAAAGAAGGATCTTCCTCAAATTTCAAATTCTATGGATGCAGAGAAATCAGACATGGAAAAGCCGACTGTCCCAACAATAAAATGGGTGATGATTCTAAAGGAAGAAAATCCTACAAGAAGAAAGCCTACATTGCTTGGGAGGAAAGTGACTCTAATTCAGAGTCAAGTGATTCCGAGGTTGAAGCAAACCTTTACTTGATGGCAAATAAGAATTACTCTTCTGATCGTGAGGTAAGTGATTCTGACTTCTCTTCTAGTGACAATGTAAATGATTATGACGCCTTACATAATGCATACGAAGAATTGTTTACTGCTTTCAAAGTTTTGAAATATGAACATAAAACCCTGAAAAATAATTTGAATAAATTTGAAAAAGAAGTAGAATTTTTGAAAACAAAAATTATATCTTTTGAAGAAAAAAGAGTTGAACCAATTGAATATGCATCATGTAAGAGTTATAAATTTTACATATGCATACTTGAGCATTTACTAGAAAATGCTACGAAAAATATGGTTGATTTTAGAAAGGATGAAAATCAAAATTTTGTGAAAACTGAAGTTAATAGTCATCCTTCTTTGAAAAGAACTAGAAATCAAAGAACCCCAAGAGTATGGGTTGTGAAAGGGACTGTAGTTCCACAAGATAAAGTTAAACTTTTCTCAAAAATTAAATCCTCAAATGTATGTTTTTATTGTATGAAACAGGAACATACTTCAAATAAATGTAAGATTAAGCATTTTGGTGTTCCTAAAGGGAAATATGTTTGGGTACCCATAGTTAAATAATTTGATTATCTCTAAACCCAAGGACCCAAAAGTTTATGGGGACCTAAGATCATTGTTACCTTATTTTGTAGGCAATTTCTAAATCCAAGAAGTCAATGTGGTACCTTGATAGTGGTTGTTCAAGACACATGACTGGTGATAGAAAGAAATTTGTAAGTTTCAAAAAGAAGGAACAAGGATATGTGACTCATGGAAATAACAACAAAGGAAAAATCCTTGGGACCGGAAACATTGGTGGTGCAAATACTTTGGAGATAAAGGATGTGTTTCTTGTTGATGGACTAAAGCACAATCTTCTCAGTATAAGTCAGCTTTGTGATAAAAGACTTAAGATAATTTTTTAAAGCAATTACTGCACTATAC